TAGGGATCAATGGCCTTTGATATGATGCAAATGCTAAAAACAAACACAAAGGCAAAAAGGTTAGTAAAATAGAAATAGATAAAAATAAATAAAAATAAATGGTAATAAAAAACATAAAAAAAAAAAAGGTTAGGAAAGAAATGTCCTAGGTTTTGGAATGTGGTTTTGGGTAGGCTCTATTTATTCAAAGCCTCCCGGTTTGGGTTCTAAAAACGGTACTCGAGTTCTCCCTGCTGGCGCCCCCTTGGACCGACCAGACCCTTAGTCCAAAACCATCACAGGCTTGTGTGGACTAAGTTAAACTCGAGAGGACACATTCCCTTATGCCCATACGGAGAATAAATTCACACGAAGGCATAAGGTATATGAATCCCGAAGGCTAACTTGCTAGGCCCATACGGTGAATAAATTCACACGAAGGCGTCGCTTTCACCCCCACTTAAAACGGGTTCGGAGCTCGGGTATAGAGCCTTAGATGAAAAAAAACTTTGAAGTCTGAAATCATGAGAAAACGATTAGTCCAACTATTTACCCGAAAATATAATCAAAAGTAAGTAAAAAGGATCGAAATATTACCTTAAAATTTAAACTTACCATTTTCGTTAACAAGACAACTGGAAATTACCTTAGCCTGACTCACTTATCATGTCCCCAGCGGAGTCGCCAAGCTGTCGCGACCGTCTTTCGGTTGGGCCCCGAAATTGGGCTTTGACTTAGGAAAATGTGGATTGGAGTCGCCACCGATCATTTATTTAAAAATAAATGGGTTGATCGGATACCCTATTTCTTACCTGATCTGCGTCTTACCAGAGATGTGTCGGATTCGGGAGTCGGTTACAGTCAAGGAAGGGCTAGCACCCTTGAACTGCCCTTTCGGTACTGTGTAATTTCCAGTTGTCTTTAATTAAGAAAATTGAAAGTTAAATTAAAAGGTAAAATATTGATCCAAATTGCTTACCACTGATTGTTTGAAGTTCTCAAAAAGCCAAGGAAAGGGTTAGGTAATGAAAGTAATAAAAATAGAAAAATAAGGCGAACAAACGAAATAATATAAAAAACAATGTATACAAAAAGGAAAGAATGAAATATGACTAAATACAAAATAAGATTGCAGAAGAGAAAAACAAACGAAAATACAAATAAAGAAAAAGAAGAAAATATAATAAAACATAAATGGATAAAAAAATTACACAGAGTAAATAAAATATAAAACAATGAAATGAAAAAAGAAAAAATATGCGTAATATATAAATAAAATAACAGTTATAATAGTAAAAATAGTAATGAAATAATAATGATGAAAATAATAAAAAAATATATATATATATATATATATATATATGTAGAATATGAAAAATACATGAAAGATATATAAAAATAAAAGGTAAAAAAAGTAATACATATACGTATATAATAATAAAAATATAATATAATAGCATAAATAAATAAATAATAATAATAGTAAAAGTAAAAGGGAGAAATAATAAAATAAAAGTGGAATAAATAATTAATGAATGAAACGAGAAATATATATTAAAGTATTAAAAGGAAAAATATCAATAATAGGTAAATGAATATATATATATATATGTATATACATAAATACAAAAAATGTTAATAGAAATATAATTATAAGATAAAATGAGTAAGGTTGGTAAATAATAAATAAAAAAATACACATATAAGTATAAAATTATAAGATGTAGTAGCTAGATAAAGAAATGACCAAAAAGTTAATTAAAATAATATATATGTATTAACACTAAGTATATAGATGAAATATATAGAAAATACGTATATATATAATTACATGAATAATAAAAAATAGTAATAATAGAAATAATAAGGATATATAAAGAATAATAATATAATAAAATAAAAATGGTAAAAGAGTATAAAAAGAAATAAAATACATACATATATATACGTATAATAATAATAATAACAATAATATATATATATATATATAATAAAACGTAATATATAAAAAAGATTTAAAGAATACGAATTGAATTTATCAGGGACCAAATTGAAAGTAAAACGAATTGAGTGGTCGAATTAGAATAACATTGGAGTTTGAGAACCGGATTTGGGGATCAAAATAACAGACTTTTAAAATAGGAGGGACTAAAAGCGGGTTTACCCTAATTTAAGGCAAAACACACGAATTTGATATAAACATGGATCAAATGTTTTTAGTTTCATTTTTCCTTCTTCTCTCGCCGCAACCTTCCCTCTTTCTCTGGTTTTCATCTGTGTTCTTCATAATGAAGAACACAGTCGCCCCAAACCCAGAAATACGATGGCACCGCCTCACGACCGCCTTTGATCGGCGCCGGCTGCCAGTCCGGCGGCAATCTAAAAAAGTTTGATTTTTTTAGTAGATCTCGACCCCACTTCTCCAAAAACATATTGGTTTTAAAAAATTAGCCTCAGGAGAGCGTAAATCTAAGAACGAAAGTTCGAAGAACTCCCCCCTTTGTCCTAGGCAAAGCGTTTGAATCAAAAGAACGGTGACCAACATCAACACATGCAAAGCAGGAAAATGACCACAATCGAAGGTAAAACAAAACTACCTTTATTTATCTTCAAACTTGTTACAAATGCTTTGAAATCACTATTAACTTGCTCGTATTTTTCTCTAATCTTTCGTGAGTAATCCTCCTCCCCGTGAGTGTTCTAGTTACATGTGATTTATAGCCTTAGATTTGAAGAGTCATGTTCCGATTATAATGCTTATTTGCTGATTTTGTGGGTTGCTGGTGAGTTGGTGTTCCACACGTTTGTTTGTTGCCGAGATAATCGATTGCGTGGAGCGTAAAAAGCGGCGACCGAGCGGCTGGGACTCTTCACTGGCGGCGCTGGATGAGAAAAGAATGCTAGGGTTATCAAACCCTAGCTGAACCAGTTCAGGTTGGGTACTTGGACCCGGTTTGGAGCTCTAAGCGATCTGGGATAAGAGTGGGGGAGATCCAGGGTTTCCAGAAACCTTAATCTTCTGCGTGGGCTGCTTTGTTGGGCCACTTTTATTTGTGTGTAATGGATATGGCATTACAAAGTAAAGAAACTGTATTAACATAATAATAATATCATATGTATATATAATATATGATGTACGTAGTTCCCACTAAAATATGTAACACGCATATATTGTATAATATATATAGTTATAAGCAAGGACGAAATTGTGTGTTTTCAATTGATTGTATCGATTAAAATATTTTATTATAATCATTTCATATAAAATTTTAATATTATTAATACGTGTTTATCTTTAAAATTATTTTTAAATTCGTTATTGTCATAAAGTGATTGACCCTTCCATTAGTGAAGGTCCACACGATAGGTACATGCGTAGAGGCACAAGTGATAAATAGTGGGGCAATGAAGGAAACGAGAATCTTGAGTTCCCTTCAATAATGGATGAGAGGTTGAGTGAGTCCGAACATACACCAATCACAGTACTCCAATTGTGACTTCATCCACTACTTTGTTTGTGATTTTCGGTATAATATCAAAATTAACTCTCAACCTTTATTAAAATGATTATTTTGTCTTTCATTTTATATTTAGAATATTTTAGTCATTATCATTTTATTTTAGGGCAAAAAAGGTCCCTAATATAAGATAAAATAATCATTTTGTCCCTTGTTGTTCGAGATATTTTAGCCCCCAATGTTTTATTTTAGGTTAAAAATATTCTTATTTTAGAGTGTTAATAATATGTTAACTAACAGTGACCAAAATGATAATTTTAATAAATATTAGGGCTATTTTTTACATTACGCCTTTTGATAACGTACAAGGCAGCATTTTAACACGTTTAAAAGGCAGGAGCAAGTGACAAAAGGCAGCCAGTTTTTCTCATAGAGAAAAGGAAATGGTGGGATCAAGTTGAGTGGATAGAATTAAAGGGCCCATAAATATCAACATTGTTATTGTAAAACGTGGGCATGGGTGGACTGAGAAATATTAGGGAAGTATCACGTGCGGTAATTTAATATACGGTTAAAGAAAGATGTTATCGGTTTTATAATTATTTTTTTAACAAAATCGATAAAAAATTATTGGAAACATTATTATTTCTACCATAAATGTTATTATTAGGTATTTTACCGGGTTTTGTAATATATCCGGTAGAAAAAATATTGTATTTTTATATATTTATATATTTGATTTTGTAATAATGAACCTATTTTTGTAATGAAATTTATGTAATTTTTGTTCCTAAATTATTAAATCATCGAATTGAAGTTGAATTTATGTTTTATAACTAATAATTATTAAATCAATTTTATGTTTTTTAATAATATTAAAGTTCATTTTTAATTGAATTATTTATATTTATTTTTATTTTTATTATTATTTATAAATAGTTAAATTTATTCAATTTAATATAATTTAAATCGAATTATTGCACCAAAACATGTGGCTTTCATTCAACAATTATTTCTCATCTATCCCATCCGACTTTCGAAAATAAAGGGCGACAAACATTGTTTCATTCAATAATTATTTATGATCTATCACATCCGACTACCTAAATTAAAGGAAACATTGTTTCATTCAACTTAGCTTTCTAGCCGTAGTTGAGCTTTAAAGGCTCACATGTGACTTCAATTTCAAAACTGAGCAATTTTGATTTAAAAATTATTTATCTTCACAAGTGTGGACTAGTCGAAATCTTCCTCTGACTATTCAAGTTTTTTTAAAGAGATTTGAATGTTAACCATTTAAATTTTAATAAATTCAAATTTGTACATATTTAAATAATTTAGAAGAATTATTTTTTTATTAATTTAAATGTAAAAAAAAACAATATTTAATTCAACCTTAAATTTGATAATACTCAATAATTTACAAGTCAGATTTTAAAGAGATTTATGAGTTCAAACTCGTCGGGGAAATTTGATAATAATAACAATAACAATAACAATATTATTATTTAGTAATAATTACTAATAATAATTTATTATTAATAATAACAATAACATTATAGATTACCTCCTTATCTCCTCCTTGTGCACATGTTGTACTGTTCTGAAATCTAGCTTTGCAAATTTCAGTAAGTTTTGGTCTAGGGTACCATATCCTTCATATATGGGAATGTAGGTCCTAGCAACCACCCTCGGTAAGCTCTTGAGAAGGGGTCGGTTTAGAGCATCAACAATCTGTGTGGAGAGAGGGTAGTCTGCCTTTGGTTCTGCCAACTTTAGATGGAATTTAGTGAAAGAAAGAGCTTCTTCTAATATATTATCCCCATGCACTTGAAAATTTGCAGCTTCGTACAATTCGAGTATGCCTTTTACATCACCGATTAAGGATTCTTTGAACTTTCCGTTCTCATCTTTGAACTTGTTGAATGTATCTACTCAATTAGCAAACAAATTTACAGACGTGTATGATAGACGTGTATCTACTCAATATATTTCTTGTTTGTTATAGATGTTTACATTTTTATTTTATCACAGTAGGTGTCTAACGTTTATTTTATTACTATTTAAGTTGCCTAAAATTTTATTTTGATACTATTTTAAGATCATCTTCATCAACAATGTTAAAAAAAACTGTCAACCAATGGTTACTTAACACATGAAATTAGTTATGATTAATATTAATTTTATAAAAATGAAAAACACTAAATTTATAAATTTAAAAAAAACTAAATTTTATAATTTCTCAAAAAAGAAACGTAAATCCTTAAATCCCCTTAAATGATCAGAGATCAGACGATGAGTGGAGGTTTGGGCAGTTTAAGTCTCACTGATAATGACGAACAGACAATAATTGGATGAAAAATAAATGATCTCATGTGATGAGATAAACAACTATTCTATTTAGGGAGACGACGTATGACAATAAGGGGACAATCAACTAGTAGAAGTTTGACAACATAAGGGATGACTCTTCGTGGCTGATCCTCCAGTGACATATGTGATTTAAGATATTTAAGAATTTTAAGTTATTTAGGGATTGTAGAGGTTTAGAAAAATATTGATTTTAATTTTAAAAAAATAAAATTAAAATAAATTAAAAAACATTATACATGTCAATTGCTGATTGGATAATATATATTTTTTAACGCTCAAACACCTTAAATGGTAAATGATTAAACGTTAGGTACCTACTTTTAAAAGGAAAAATTAAACACCTCAAACAAACAAGGAACTTTCAAATACTTATTTTTTTAATTAAGTCTTTATAATACTATATATTTAATAATTGAAAACCTTTTACATAAACATAAACAAATAGTTAGACATTTTTTATTTAATCAAAACTATATATATATACACACATATGACCAGCTTTTAGAAGAGCACCCTGAGCGACTGTACAGGGTTTTCTATTTTTATATTTAAAATTGAGATCTCTAATTTTTTTCAATTCCATAAATTTTTTTAATTTGAACCGTCTTCTACCACCTCTCTTATTACTTCATTTAATTTTAAATTAAATTTAATCATATTCTTCTTCAATCTTAATCTAACAATAAAACAATACACCATTCTTTATATATTTTTCATTTATTATTCAAAATCCTAAACCCTAAACCTCAAAATATAACACTATCAAAATATTAACCACGCCAGAAGTAAATTAAGACATACCGCAATGAACATTGAAACCGTGCTCTCTTAGCAGACGAAACCGAACAGCGGTGGTGTAGAGATCGTCGTCGACCTGAGCATGATTTATAATTTGTAAGGCTTCTTCTATCTCTTTCTCGAAATGGTAGGCCACACCTAAGCGCTGAACTGCATCAATTACGTGCACTTTTTGGGATGGCTTATCCATATTAGTCACCACCATTCTCCTCACTTCTTCCTTCAATTCTTCGTACTCAAGTTGAGTTCCAGCATCCATATCCTGTTCAAGTTTTAAAATGCTTTCGAATCATTCTAAAAACCACATTATACGTTGTATCAACCAGTTCGGATAAACACGAGTTTTTCGAAGGTACATACCGTTTCGGCCGGAGAAGAGAGGATAATGTCCCCCCACATGTCGGGATCGAAATCGGCCAGATGCCAATTTTCCTTGGACATGTTGTTGTCTTGTACTGGAACAAGATCTGCAGAAACTTGAGAAGACATTTCCTTTAGCGTGCTGAAACTTGAAAGCTCTCTGTGTTTTGGTGTGACCCAAATGCTGTTATGAGTTGCAAGTATTTATAGGCACCTCCAGTAGTATTTAGGGTAAACTACAAGTTAGTACCTAACTATCACTTTTATTCTTTTTTCGTTATCTAATTATATTTCTTTTCAAAATCATTCATAACATTTAGTTTTGGTTTCATTTTAATCAACTGTCGTTAAAAAAATTAATGGTGATGATGCCGTGTCACCAGGTAATACCATGTCATCATTGAACAAATAAAAGAATGTCACATTAGTAGTTCTGTTAATTTTTTAACGACAGATGATCAAAATGTAATGTTAAGTATGATTAAAAAAATATTTAAGTGACCAAAACTAAACAAAAATTATAGTTGGGGTACTAAATATATATTTTACCCTATAAATTAATGCGGTGTTACAAATATCAGAATATTAGTTAAATTTTATTATTGTTTAATGTGACTTTATATCTAAATTGATTCTTTTTATTATCTATCATTAATGGATGTTAGATTCAATGAATAAATTTGATGACCTAACTTTTTTCAAATAAAATATATTATTTAAGTTTAATTAAATATTTAAAATTATTAAAATTTTCTTCATCTGCTATTTGCCATGTATCAGCTTATATATTGTGTGTAATAGCACTTACACACAACCACTACACTAAAAAAACACTTTATATAAAAAATATATTTATCAAATAAAAAATAAATAATCTTATTTTTCAATAATGGATTGGTGAATGTGTCCCTTACAAATGGCACTAATTTAATTTCAGCTTTTTCTTTTTTTATTTTTTCTTCTAAATAAACTATTATTAATAAGAACGAAAACATCAAAGAATGGTCATAAAGGAGGATAAAACTTGTCTCAATCCAGCATGTTTATCTTATATACTCATTTCTAATATTATTTTTTTTCTCGGCAATAGAATTTTATTAAAAAAATTAATCTCGACTATGTCTCATTAAAAATCTCACTAATCCTAAAAAGAAAAAAAAAAGACCCCATGAATTCGGTAAGTAATGCAAATATAGTTATATCCCATATTCATTAGATATTAATTTTGATAAAAATTTTCATAATATTTCACATATTTTATCATTTTAATTGTTGGTTACAGTTATAGTCTAGTTCATATGTGCATATCGTTAATTTGTTTTTGGGTTAATACACATCCTTGATCTATATATTGTGTATTTATTTCTTTAGAGATCTTTTAAAATTTTGAGAGTGCTATATTAATTTCGGATAATGATAATCCGTTTACGATTACATTAATTAAGATGAATTTGTTTCTAAAATAGTGGACTATCACGACACATCAATAATTTCTTCTTCATTTAATTGTTTTATACTTACTAATACTAATATGTTTCTTTTACAGTACTTATTTCTTACATATCTTACACGTAGTACTAAAATATAAGATCAACCAACAACTATTTGGTCTAATGGGTTGGGAGGGTTGCCATTGTCTCTGCAGTATCTAATTTAGATTAATTGATTAATAAATAATATAGGTACCAAATTGAAATCTAAACTAAATGTAGATATGATTTTTTAAAAAATGAAAGTTTAGGTAATAAAATGAACTAAAACTTATAGTTTAAATACTAAACACGTAGTTTACCCTTATTTTAAAAAATAAACAATACTAATTAATTATTCTATCCATAAAACTTCACGTATCCAAATAAAAAAGGGTAAAACACACATTTAGTACTTGAATTATTACTTTTGTCCATTTCAATACCTAAGTTTTTTTTCAAAACCATACCTACATTTACTTTAGGTTTCAATTTAGAACCCACTGTTAAAAACTTACGGCACCAATGACGTAGAATTTATATCACAAGATGCACGAAATATCGAAAAAGGTAAAATAATTTCATGTCATCGCTCCCGCTAAGTTTTAATGATTGGTTACCAAATTGAAATTTAAAGTAAACGTTATGCATAGTTTTGAAAAAAGAACAAAGTTTAAAAACTAAAACGGAACAAAAGCTATAGTTTGATTGTTAAAAGTGTAATTTTCCCAACAAAAGCCTTGCAAAGTTCCCTGACGAGAGGCAAGACAACTTGTTCCAAAAACTAATAAAAATATGGACTCAAAAGCAACATGTAAATATAAAACTAAAATTTATTCACTCAACATACGAGTTGAGTCTATTCTATTCAAACTTGATCATTTCTTTTAAAAGCATAAAGCTTCGTTAAGACAACAGAGACAATACATAATAAACACCAAACAAACTAGAGGTAAATTGAAGCATTATATGCTTCCCAGCACAACATATTTATTTATTTAACAAAGGACATCTCAAAGCATTGTTGGGGTCAAACTGAGATGGGTTCAATCAACAAGGAAGTGATGCCATCTTTCACTGAATCACAAACAAACGTATAACCATCGTCGTTCTTGTAAAACAGATCAAGAACCCTTGAAAGGTTGAGAATTCGATCAAGAGCCGACGTCGGCACCGCCGTTGGTTTCAAGAACCCTTCAGTCATATCCATCCAAGCACCCTTTATTTGCTTGTTTAACTCGTCGTAAGCAACTTGCACCGGTGCACCGTATTGTTTCATGTAGCACTCGACCGCGGAAGGAGGATGTTCTCTCTCTCGCTCGATCTACAAAAGAAAAAAACATTGTAATAAAAACAAAGGATGGTTTTATATTAGGCCTGTAAGCATTGCAGAAAATAAATGATGTACCTGGTGCGTAACCACATCATCCATCAGCCTACAAATAATTGTTGAAGCTCGAAGAATCTTGGGTCATTAAATGCCCAAATGAAAGTCTCTTTTGTAATGTCATCTTCCATGCCAACGAATGCAACAACTGTGAGCAGCTGATAAGTAGAAGTAACTAATGCGACACACATATACTCCTCAAACGTGGGGATTTAATTTTCATGGAGCCATTTGAACTCAGCATAGTAGGCTTCACATTTACTAGAACAGCAATGGACGGAGTCGAAATACAGAAATGAACCCACTTTCTTCATCTTTTACCAAAACCCATCTTCTTAAGAATCAGGTTGAGAAAGTGCCAGTCAACCGTGTCATACGCTTTACTAAAATCTGCCTTGAACATCATAGCTTCTTTCTTTCTTTTGGAAATATCGCCAATGACCTCATTAGCTATTAGGATGTATTCCGCAATCTGCTTAACCGAAATAAAGGCAAATTGATTCTCCCCCAACACTTCTTGTAAACAACTGACCATTCTCTTAGCCAAAACCCGGGACACAATTTTGTACAAGCTTCCCACCAATGAGATTGGTTTGTAGTCCTCTGGATAGACAACCTCTCCTTTCTTTGGGATTAGAGCGATATAGGATTTGTTAAAAGAAAGATCCTCAATTCTGCCCCAAAAGAAATCGGCCATGAACTGCATAACATCGACCTTAATAACCATCCAGAATTTTTTGAAAAAATCCAAGCTAAACCCATTTGGGCCCGGCGCTCTCAAACCATCGGACGAATTAACTACGAACCATACCTCTTCTTCTGAAAAAGGCCTCTCAATGAACCTTCTAGTGGCAACACATAATCTCTTGAGCGGAATATCCAATTTCTTAACTGGAATAGATCTCATATCATTATAATTAACCCGAAAATGACTCATAAAGGCTGGTTGAATCCTTACTTGATGCTTTAAAAGTGAATTATGGGCCTTTAGCTTAGAAATCCGGTTTACCTTTGCTCTTTTTAAAGTAGTTAAATGAAAAAACTTTGTGTTTTATCCCCTTCTTTAAACCACCTGAGTCTAGACTTTTGAAGACACTCTCTTTCTTCTGTCCTAAAAACTACCCACAATCGCGCTTTCATTTCAGCAAGTTCCGACTGAGTAGAAGCTAAACTAGGATTTTAAATGCACCTTTTTTCTAAGTCATCAATTAACTTCCCAATTTTTTCTGCGGAGTCAGGATTGGATTCTCTAATAGATCTCTCCCTTTCTTTTGTCATCTCCTTAGTTAGAAACAAAGACTGCATAATGTTTATTCCTCTATTTGACTCCCACACATGCTTAATACGATCAAATAGAATCGGATCATCAGCCCAATGGTTGAACTATTTAAAAGGCCTAAATAGTTTCCTTTGTTTCCTTTCTTTAAGCACAACCCGGTTGTGATCTGATAAACTTTGTGGTAATGTAAACTGTATCAACCCAGGGAGAACATAAGTAATGTCAGTAGAAATCAGAATCCTATCCAATCTACTAGCTGCCACATTTGGCCCGCCCCTAAACCAAGTGAAAATACTGCCTAAAACAAGAACTTCAATAAACTTCCATCTTGAAATGAAATCTTCGAACAAATCTTTTGTCACAGCCCCATTATCAGAACTGGAATAACAAACATTATTTTGAGATTTGGGGATTTTCTGGGAAGGCTTCGGGGGTTGCGTATAGGCCCTCACTCTAGAATTATCCAATTGGTCCTCTTCCAAAACTCTTATTGAAGACACCTCTTCAATGGAAATATCCACAAGTGTTGAAAACATTTTGATATTTCGATATAACAAATTAAGTTAAATGAATTTTAAGATTTTCCAAATGATTTTCTAAGTATATTCGATATAACTATTCGAATATCAAAACATTACTCCAAATCTTTCAAAAATCATTTTTAATCCTTACTCAAGTGTAAAATTAAGTTTCAATCTTAAAACAATTTCAAAATAATTTTACAAAGTATTTCGAACCATTTCAAAGCCAAAAATTCCAGATTGCTCAGAGGGAACCGATTCCCCCCTAAATGGTTTGGCTCCGAGAATTCTAGTATGCTCGGAGGGAACCGATTCCCCCCTTGTATAACGGTCGAAATATTTAAATTTTACACTTAGGGAACCGATTCCCCCCACACTCCAAGTTGTTTTATTAATTGTTTTCACACTAAAACGGCTACATTATCTTCTCTAATCATCCTCAACGTTCAGAAGTGATTCAAGGTGTATTTAAGCAAGCTTAGAATCCATTGATCAACAACAAGAAACATCAAGCAACTAGAATCAAGAGAGAATCAAAGAGAAAGCATCAAACCTCAAGTTTGAGCATTTCAAGCCTATTTTTCATTCAATATTCATTTTGCTTTCAAGAACACTTATTGTGCTCAATTGTATTCATTCTTGAGTGTTCTTTTCTTTTTTCTAGAATTGTGCAAACAATATACCTTGTGAGGACTTCCTTGTAAGTTTGCAAATTTGTATTGTTCTCTTTGGGAGAGAGTGTTCTTAAGAATTTGGGGTATAATTCTTGAGGGTTTGTAAGGTTACTCTTTGTCCTTAAAAGAAAGACAAATTAGTGAATTTGTGGAAAATCCTTAGTGTGGATAGCTAAGGTAGTGGATGTAGACTTTGGTTGAGAAAGTCGAATCACTCTAAATCACTGTGCAATTTCTTTCAATTTTCTGCAAAAGCTTCCACCAAAATTTTTATTACCAATTCAACCCCTTCTTGGCCGATTCCGTCAATCGATTAACTCAACAATTGGTATCAGAGCCTAACTCATTTGAAGGTTTAACCGCCTCTTGAGTAGATCCGGGAAGAGTTAAATCGATAAAGATGGCGTCCACTTCCGGTTCATTCTCCATAGAAGAATCTAGACCTATTGACGTGCCTCCACACTTCAATGGAACAAATTATCGTCATTGGAAGAGGTGTATGATGATATTCATCAAAGCATTTGATATGGAAGCTTGGATGATAATCAAGAAAGGATATTCATCTCCTACTAAGAAGGCAAAGAAGTGGAGTGTTCAAGAACGGAAGGAAGCTCAACAAAACTCAAAGGTTATGCACATGTTGTGTTGTGCAATTGATCCTAATGTATATAAAGGAGTTTCTTCTTGTTCAAGTGCCAAGGAAATGTGGGATAAGCTTGAGGAGATCTATAGAGACAAGGAAGAAGAAGAACCAATAAAAGTGATGTCTCTATTAGCTCTCACGGAGTCAAAGGTATCTTCTAACTCAAATATATCAAATTCAAAATCTTTTATTGAGTTACAAGATGCTTATGATAAATTATTTTCGAAGTTTGAGACCATGAACTCCAAATACAATAAATTAATTTCTAAATTTATTGCTAAAAATGATCTTCTTTTGAAAGCTAAAACAGACTTGGAAAATCAAAATGAAATGTTGAGAAAGGAGTTAGAGCTTTCAAAAATAAAATATGAAAACTTTGAAAAAGAAATTTTCAAATTAAACAAACTTCTTCTAGAAATAAAAATGGATTTTGAAAATCAAAATGAAATCTTGAAGAAGGATTTAGAACTCTCAAAAATGAAATTTGAAAGTATTGAAAAAGAAAATTTTAATTTGAAAGATAAGCTTGAATGTTTAACAAGAGAAAGAGAGATCATTCTAAATAATTCATCTAGTTCACTAATGGCAATATGTTCACATTGTCATTATCATAGTCATAAGGAACATACTTGCCCTTTAAAGAAAGGAAAACAATTTAAAATTAGACAAGTATGAGTTCAAAAAGGAACAAGAGGCATTGAAACTAATGTTCACGGATCCAAAGCAATTTGGATACCAAAATCTACTTAAATGTATCTTGTAGGTGTGTGGGAGCAATGGTGATGAAGATGATGATATTCAAGATGCTTTAGCCACACATGAAAAAGGAATGGGTAACCTCTAAACTTAATGTTTTTTTATTTTATTTGGTTGCTCATTTAGTTTATGCATGCATGAGGTTTTAAATGTTAAATAATTCTAAATGATTATGTTTTGTCTCATATATGTTGAAAAATATTGTATGATGAACATAATAATTTTTGGTAATATTTTATAAACTCTAGTTTATCATATTAATTTTTGGTCAAAATTGGTTTTAAAATGTAATTGATATCTCTTTAACAATTGATATCGATTTTCAAAAACTTTGGTTTTGCAAAATTTTGACCTTAAATTTTTCTTAATGATTATGCATATTTTTTTATTATAAAGTTTTAATGCATAACATTTTCAAAAACTTTATGCATGTGCTCTTAATCTCGATTATCAACATTGCATAATGTTTTGTATGTGAATGGATTAAAGCATAATTTGATTAGATGAATTTGACAAAAGATACAATGTCTTATTTTTAAATTATGTGTTTGCAAAATTGATTAACATTGCATCTACTTTGATTATGCTTGTTGGTCATAGAATAGGAAACATTTACATGGTGCATTTAGACTCTATAGAAATGACTAATTTATGCCTAGTTGCAAAGGATGAGCACGATAGTTGGTTATGGCATAGGAGACTAGGACATGCTAGCATGAGTGTTTTGCAACGGTTAGTTCAAGGAGAATTGGTTCGAGGGCTGCCTAAACTGAAATTTGATAATGATAAAATCTGTGATGCTTATGCTAAAGGAAAACAAAAGCGAGTTTCTTTTAAGTCCATTAATGATATATCAACTAGTAGAGTATTACAATTGATCCATATAGATCTTTTTGGGCCAACTAGGACTACTAGCTTGGGTGGAAAACAATATGCATTTGTCTTGGTAGATGTCTATTCTAGATATACTTGGGTTCTATTCTTAAGTACTAAAGATGAAGCATTAGAAAAATTCATCACGTTTTCAAAAGTAATCCAAAACGATAAAGGTTACTCTATAACTAGTGTTAGGAGTGATCATGTCACTAAATTTGAAAATCTTGGATTTACTGAGTTTTGTAATTCTAATGGTATTAGCCACAATTTTTCAGCACCTAGAACTCCTCAACAAAATGGAGTTGTTGAAAGGAAAAATTGAACTTTAGAAGAAATGGCTAGAACCATGCTTTGTGAAAATAATTTGCCAAAATATTTTTGGGCAGAAGCCACAAATACCGCTTTTTATGTTATAAATCGAGTAATGATTAGGCCAATTTTAAAGAAAA